GGGGGGTCCAAAAATCGTATGCTAGGACGGACCCTTACTTTCTTTGAGTGGTTTGTCGTTACTATATTCTAATAAAAAAGGAAGTAAAGTTGACCATTCCCATTTTTTCTTCGAGTATTTTATTCTGGTTGCACGACAGCTTTGTACTGCTGTTTTCCGGCATTCTTGTTTTGAAGAAATACAGCTATTACCGGAACAGCTGTTGTCTCTTTAATGACAGCTGTAAAGGAACCTTAAACGTTACAAGGGGACTTTTTAAAAAAGTATCACAGTGTGCATCTATGAAGAAAAAACTTTGATTATTTTTTTTCAATTTTGCGTAAAAACTAAAAATAAAAAATAAAAAATAAATAAAGATCCATTGAAAAATCTTAAAAGACGATTTTTAAAAGTTAATTGTTACGCGGCAAAGCTACCTCAGTTTAGAAAATTCTGCAAACCTGTTTACAAAACTGATAACTCAGTGGTGCGGAGAAATTTATTTTCCTGAAATTTTGAAACGTCGACAAGTTAGAAATGTATTTAGTGAAGAAACCGTCCCATTGAATGTTGCCTTTTAAAACCATGCTTACCTGAAGCTCTCTGGATAATTTCGCCAGTTTTTATAATTGCTGCTTTTTGGCACTTCTATTTTATTCTATTAATCTTTGCTGATATAGTTAATATTTGTGTTCGTCTACACATTTAATAAAATCAGAAAATCAAAATGTACATGTCTTCAATATATATATAAAGTGTATTTTTATTTGTATCTTTGCGTTTTTGAACAATAAATAGATTTGAATAATAATAATTTAGTGAAGAAACGAATAAACATTTCGCGGAACATATCTATGAGACATATCACGACGTCATCTGATAGTATTTCAATTATTTTAAGTAAATTTCGAGATACTGAAAGTTCATTTTCCTTCTAGTTCTTTTTGATGTTTTTATTATGAATAATATTTATCAAGCATTAAATTGTGTTTTCAATAGAAAAGTTGACGCCTTAAGTGTCATATTCTGATAATCCTGTATTTTGTTCTGTCGCAGAAAAGTCACTAGGTGGAGAAGGTTGATTAATAAAAAATTTGTTTTTAAAGTTTTAATCTTTTCATATTTGATTCATACTTGATCAGACAAAGCTTTTGTGGGTACCGTTGTGAATTAGACATTACCATCTTTGTTTTAAGGTTCACTTGAAACCCCTCGCCCCCGTTTAGTTAACTTTTGGATAAATACTTTGTAAATATGCATTGGTCTTTTATTCTAATGCATTGTTAGTCTCTCATCCTATAGTATTTCAGAGAAGTGGTTGATGATGGTAAAATCCGGAGCTATAGTTCCAGCCTTTCTTCTTCTCCTCTCCTTCTTGGATCCCTGCGACAGCGGTGCCGTCCAGCTCGACACCAGTAACATCGACAAGGTTCTCGAGGACTATGAGTTCGTCTTCATCAACTTCTACGCGGACTGGTGCAGGTTTTCTAACATGCTTTCTCCTATCTGGGATGAGGGAGCGGAGAAGATCAGCTCCGAGCTTGCAGGTCAATCCGTCCTAGTCGGGAAGATTGATTGCGACGCGCAATCTAGCCTCGGTACCAGGTTCCATATTACTAAATACCCAACTATCAAATACGTTGTCAATGGTCAACTGGCCAAGAAGGAATACCGAGGGCAAAGGTCTGCTCAGGCCTTCTTGGACTTTGTCGTGGAACAGACGAAGAACCCTGTTGATGAGTTTGAGGATCTCCAGGTGCTGAACAAACTAGAAGAGAAGGCCCAGTATGTTATTGGATACTTTGAGAAGAAGGAATCTGCAGAATATTCTACGTATAAAAAAGTTGCCACTAAACTAAAGGCAGGAGTTCAAATCAATCTAAAGAAATTTTTACCGAATTTAATCACTGGATCAAACTTGAAGATTTAGAAAGGATTTGATTTAGTGTTTCAATTTTGAATCGGTGGTAACTAGTAGGCAGTTTTGCGACCCCTCAAATCTATTAATTTTGGTGCCTGTACAACTTACCCAACAACATTGAATGCAAAAACATATAATCAATATTCATGGAAGGGAGGGGTAAAATTAATTTTTAAAAAGAGAGACTGAAAACTGAAAATCCACTGCCAAGTTTCCCCATTTTATGCCTCCCCCTTCCCTTTAAATGTATTTTTTTTCCCAAATTCCAAATGTTTATAGCCCCCTTCATTATGCACCCATTGAATAAATGTTCCGACCTTTCATGCTTTTGTTAAGTCTTGAGGTTAAATTTGAACTCCTGGGTTCAGGATGATTGTAAGTTTATGGCCGGATTTGGAGAATCTGTTGAGAAAATGCATCCTCCTGGACATGATATTGTGGCTTTCAGGTGGTTTCCCAGGGTTAACATTGTTTACTTTTTCTAGTCAAGGGGCACATTATTGCCCCCCCCCTCCCCTTGCTCTAGTGGGGGGGAAAATACTTTTCAATGATTTTTTTTATCGAGGGGGGTTGTAAAATTTAGAATGATTAACAACCTAACGCATTAAATCTTACAAATTAGTCGTGATAAGTCATAAACTTATCTCATAAGCAATTTATTTTTAAATACAATTTAAAAAAAACAAAACCAGTGCTTAGGATCCATTTAGTTTTGATGCGGGTCGAATGTTATCGGGAGAAATAGTTAAAATCGTAATTTACGACCAAGTGCGGGTAGGCGGTGGGAGTAACCTGTGCAACGCTGGGTTCTCAGGCTAGTAACAATATTTTAATGCTTAGGCCAAGTAAGGCTCGATCCAATGAGGACGACGAAGCATATCTCGGCAGTCTAGTCAATTTCGAGGATTTCCAGGTTACAATCATATTAATGTTATAAATAGTTGTGTGAGTACATTTATTGACTCTTTGTTATAAATTAACACTGAAATCATTGTAATAAAAAATAAGTTTATTTTTGTTGACTTAATTTCAATTGATCCACAAGTTAAAGAATTGAATGATTGATTAACTAAAGTAGTCTTTAAAGTCTTTAAATTTAAACCTTTCTCAGTCACCATAAGGAAAATATGTTCCTTTATAATCTTTTAACATATAATTCTAACAATTTCCTTCATTGTTTCTGCTGTATAAATCCGCAATTCACAGTTGGAAATTATGAATTTTCAGATGGACTAACAAGGATATCTTACTTTGCTCTGACAAAGGGTACCCATTTACAAATGAGTGGTTCCTTTTAGAAAGCTCCATATTGATCTTATCGGTTTTGATCGGACACTACCTGTGGCGGTCTGGATTGCCCAAGCTGAGACTTCTTGCAGATCTCTTCTCTTCATATCTTTTATTCAATTTTTATTTTTTTAAGAGTTGGGTTCAAGAGAAGTGTAATCCTCTGGTTCGTGAGATAACATTTGAAAACGCTGAGGAACTGACCGAGGAAGGTTTACCCTTTCTTATTCTATTTCATCATCCTGATGATACAACTAGTATCAAGGTACTGATTAATAGTCGTCTTTTCTCTCTTATAAACCACTGTCTCTAATCTAAAGTTATTCTTAAACATTTTGGCTTTTGATTTTTAAGATTTAAGCGTAGATTTTTTTGTGACCTCTATTTTGATTTAGATAGTTTGGTTTGATTTAATAATAATAATAATAATGTGATTATGATTTATTTACACTTATTGATTGACCTTATTGATATGATTTGTTAGATCCGTATTGTCTTATTTTAAGATCATGATTTATTTGACACAAATTGAACTCATTGATATGATTTGTTTTACACTATTTGACCTCAGTGATATGATTTTTTTGACCTGTATTGACCTCTATTTTTAAGTCTAAAATGATCATGATTTGTTTGACACTATTTGACCTCAGTGAGATGATTTGTTAGATCCTTATTGTCCTATTTTAAGATCTAAAGGGATCATGATTTATTTGACACAAATTAAACTCATTGATATGATTTGTTTGACCTGTATTGACCTCTATTTTTTAAGTCTAAAATTATGATTTATTTGACACTATTTGACCTCAGTGATATAATTTGTTTGACTGTATTGTCCTATTTTAAGATCTAAAGTGATCATGGCTTGTTTAACACTATTTGACCTCATTGTTTGACCTGTATAGACTTCTACTTAGGAGTACAATGATCTTGTGAAACGTGAACTGATGTCTGAGAGACAGCAGGTCAACTTCCTGACCGCCGACGGTGTCAAGTTCGCCCATCCACTCCATCATCTTGGGAAATCAAAGGAAGATCTTCCTTTGATCGCCATTGATTCCTTCAGACATATGTACTTATTCCCAAAAACAGAAGAAATGAGAGTTCCGGTAAGTGATCATTCATTCATGAATCTTGCCTCTGTTGAAATTTTTTTCTTTCAAATTTTCCCGAAAGTATTCAGTAGAACTAATTAATAAACATCAAATAAATTTTTTTCTTGAGTTATTCCAGTTTGTTCGTCATTTTCTTCAAACGCTGTTTAATTTTCTTCAAAACTCAAACTGTGGCCGAATTTAAAGAATTTGAACGGCGGTTTAAATTTAAGCCGCGGTTTAAATATGGTTGGTTCAACTTAAAATTGAATCAAATGTTTCAAGATTTAAGCCGGCGCTAAATTTAAACCGGGTTTTGGCGGATTTAAACCGCGGCTCAAATTCTTTAAATTCCATTTCTGGACTAAGAATTCAAATCTGGGCTCCCTTTTATGTCCACATTTGATCTGACTAATGGTTATTAATTAGGGTACCAATACGAAAGGGGGGGGGTATGAGTTTCGCAGAACTAGTTTAAACCCCTGCATATTGTTGTGTGTGTGTGTAGGGTAAAGTGAAGGAGTTCCTACAGGATCTATACAGCGGTAAACTACACAGAGAGTTCCACTACGGTCCTGATGAGGAGGAGAAGGTAATTTAGAAAGTTTCATGATTGGAAGAGAAGGGAATTATTTTCGAAGAAGTGGGGTTGATATAGAACATTAACTGACAATCCCCACCTTAGGTTTTAATACTTTTAATCCTAAAATTAATTTTTTCCCCTTATAAATTATTTATTTTCCATCAATATACATTTATTTTCTCCCATAAATCGTTAATATTCCCCTATGAATCGGTAATTTCCTACAGATCATTTTTCCTCCCTATATTATTCGGTGATTGTCTTCATTGCAAACATCCGCTTGAGGTCGCTAAAAAAGGAACCATAATTGGAATATATCAATTTTTGAATAGCAAAACAGGCATATCTAAGGAGATTACATTAAAATGGTACCGTTGTGAATCGGTATGTATCTGATGGAAGGCAAGTTGTTATTACCTCTATGTCGTATTTATAAGCTTTCTTATTAAGGTTCCTTATCCTGTACTATTATTGTTGTAGGCGTCTGATGACTCTGAGAACACTGTAGATACTGGGAACCATATCCCTCGGGAGAAGGATCACAATGTAGTTCGGAGAAACGCCGGTAGAGCAACCGATCCTCCAGAGAGTCAGTTCAAACATCTCCGTCCCTCCGACAACAGATATACACTGCTTCATGATGAATTCTAGGCGCTGCTGCATACTTCCTTTCCTTTATTCATTTTCTTCCAGTTTTAGTTCTTCGTCCTAAATGCTTATTCAAATTTAAGGACTATTATAATGGTTAAGCACATTGTTCAAAACCAGGTTTTTAAAAAGTTTTTATATATATCTTTTTTTAGCGGGTTTTAAAGGTATAATTTTTCTCCAATGTAAATATTCACACACACACATTTCATGATACTTCTATACAAGGATTTTAGGGGTACATAATATACAGGGTGTCCCAATAAACATGGGAATTGAATGACGAATTCGAGATCGTCTTTGTTAATAATCAGAATTGTTATACCTGATTTCAAAAGCCATAATATTATTATGTCTGCTAGAGTTTATTTTATGAAATGGGTTAAAGACTGTAAAGATGTGCCTATAATGTCTCCGCAAGATGAACAGTGAAGACGGACAAGTTTACTCTGTTTGTATACTGTAATTTTCTTGTTTTACTTAGTACAACCGTATGCAGTCAAAACATAAACAAAAAATTGTAAACATAGCAGACGAAAATCTTCCGGATTAAAGCTTTCTCAGTAGGTATCACCATACTAAATCAAGGAATTATTTAAAACGACGATATCGAAATCGTCATTCAATTCCCAGGTTTATTGGGACACCCTGTATATTTACTAGGCGAACATTTTTTTATCCTTAGAATTCGTTTGCACATTAATTGTTTTGAAGTCTTGTTCCGAGTGATAAAGATTGTAAGTCATGTATCAATTTTCTTTTCTTTTCCAGCATTTATTTGAAAATATTCCTCGTTTTGGTCAAACTAATTACAAACCAGGTTCCTTTAATATGTATCTATTAGGCTGACACACGAAAGGGGTGAATAGAACTATATTTTTCTCTTTTATAAATAAATCCCAAACTACTTTATAAACAAATAGACAAAACTAATAGACTAATATTTGGGTTGCATAGGTTCTATGGGTGATGCGGCCCAATATGAACATGATGTGCCAAAATCTTAGGTTGATCAGAGTAATGCACCAGGTGGAAGTCGTTTTCTGTTTTTAGGGAAAACCTTTATTTTTGATGGAGGTCAATGACCTCCGAGCACAATTGGAGGCTGAATGTAAAATTTCATCCTTTTATCTAAATTTTTAGATTTGTTTTCTGAAACTTCTTCCACCTTCGTTCATTGAGTTAGAGCGCAAAAAAATCGTCACATTTCTACACTTAAGGGTTGACATCGCCCAAATAACATATGATATATGCACCTTTTGATTTTCTTACATTCACTTTTTCGTGTGTCACCCTAGTATCTATCTATCACCATATATGACATTTCGACTCATAACGTCGTCTTTGATGTATTCAGAGCTAGAGCGGATTTATCTCCTTTGGTTCATTTAAAGGTTCTAAACTCTGAATAGTTTTTACATGTATTACTTTGATTTCACCCTCTTTACCCTTTTTACTCATACCCGGTCTGGTTGCGTGGATAATGCTCTATTTTTGATATTTCTTCTGATTCAAGTTTAGAAATACTTCTAAACTCTGTCTTCCTTTTCGTTGATTTTATATAATTGATTACAGCATTTATAGTTCTAAAACTCTGTAGGTCGGAACTTTTAAATGAGATAGCGCTTATAATTAAAAATTCTCAACTCAACATCCAGAGTCGAAACTTTTGATTTGAAATGATAAAGTGACTTCTGATTCGTCGGCCAGTTAGAGCAGTGCATAGGATTCGGATCCGCAACATTAGGGGTTTCAGGATACACGTAAGCCAAAAATCTTTTTGCTCATCTGTTGAAAAATGAGAAATTTAAAAAAAAAGCTCTTTTAATTGTTCATAAATTTTTAGCAAAAATAAATTTTAAAATTCTTTATTTGTTAAAACAAAATCAGTTAAAGAAATGTTTGCTGCCTGGATCTGGATCCAGTTCTTTCAGGACAGATCCCAATTTGCTTCAAAATGCATTGGACCCTATGCACTGCTTTAGAGATATTCAAAATAAATTAATTTATCCCGGCCCATATATAAATATACGGATTTGCCCTATCTAATAGGATTACACAAGTTCCGACCACAGAGGAGATTTTAAGATGTAATTATCATTTTTCATTTATTATGATTAATCCCTGAATTAAACCCTCTCTAGAAGACATCTTATTGTTATTAGTGAATTTAGACTTAGTATTAGACAATAGACATTCCCTCACAGATGAATTCACTACAATCGTAGAATATAAATTTTGATTATTATTGTTTGTACTTTTTAACCTTTAGCAGAGATTTGGAGTATTGTTGGTAGGAGAGATGAGTTGGGATTTTTTAAAGATAGGATAACTCCTGGTATCTTAAATTGATGAAATTACCGTTATTTTGGGGGTTATCATAAAAATTGTGTAGTTTTCCAGTAAGATTCAAACAAAACCGGATATTTTGTTAAACAACAGTAAGATTCTACTTTAACCCGGTTTTATACATATTGGTCTACAATAGTCGGGGATTATACCAATGCTTTAGTCCCTAACGAGCATTATTCAAATTACAAGTTTATAAGGTTGAGAGATTCTCTTTGTTAAAATGTTTAATATCTTGGTAGAAATTCAAATTGAAACAGAAAGTCGCGACGACGACAATTGTAGGACAGGGAAATATAATTTCAATAAGTTTTTCGGGAAATGTTTGTCGATGTTCTGGGTGAAAAAATGAATAATTATTTTCCCCAACTAGGAGAATTGACAAGGGGGGGGGGGATTTTGGTGCTGTATTGTTTTTACTTTTGATTAATGAGCTGGAGTTTGACAGTCCAGCGTGTTCAGGTTCGGAATTATTGAATGGTAGTAAGTAGTTCATTTAAGTATGGGCTTGTCTAGTGTAGCCAAGAGTTTACAATAGAAGTAGTTCAATTGATTATACCGAGTTATACTTCTTTTTGCTTTTCATTGATTCCTATCTTAGGACTTCCATATCTTACAGAAATATGACAATGGGCCTTGTGGATCCCTTGGCGGGGAACCAGAGGACCAAGAACAATAAAGAGAAGGATTTGATGAATCAGCTCAAACAGTTTCTTGAAGGTAGAATAATGAACCCCCCCCCCCCCCCCCTGTTCTTAGATGTACATTTTTCCATCCAGTCATAGAATTAAAAGATATTAAAAAATTTTTTTTTACGAAATTTTTTTTAATGTATGGTCATACCAAATCTACTTGAAAAAAATCATGCTCAATTACTCAAACAAAATCTTTACTAAAAAATATTGAGTTTCCGTAATTTTTAGTAAACAAACCGCTTACAAAAAGTATTTTTTTTAATGTATTCTAGGAGTGGGGAAAGGACGAGGATTGAACCTTCGACTCTCCGGGGTTGCATTAAACCTTTTAAAGAATCTACCCTGTGCCAGAGATGCAGTCTTTGAATATTATTCAGGTTTCCTCTTCTTTCCTTTTTTCTTTCTTCCTTTTAACTTAGTTGCCCCCTGTTCTTAAATTTAAGATTTGGCTTAAAAATAGCAATTCGTTCAATTAGGTTTTATTACCCTTTTATATTGTGATTAACATTTTTTGGTTTTAGTTGTTTTCGACCGTCTAGTTGTTACTAAACCCCGTCTTCTGATAAACTAGTTTATTTTAGTTCTTTTCGACCGTCTAGTTTCCAACTATACTCCGTCTTCTGAGAGACAAGTTTATTTTAGTTGTTTCGACCGTTTAGTTGCCAACTAAACCCCGTCTTCTAATAAACAAGTTTATTTTAGATCTTTTTGACCGTCTAGTTGCCAACTAAACCCCGCCTTCTGATAAACAAGTTTATTATAGTTCTTTTTAACCGTCTAGTTGCCAACTAAACCCCGTCTTCGGATGAACAAGTTTATTTTAGTTCGTTTTAACCGTGTAGTTGCCAACTAAACCCCGCCTTCTGATGAACAAGTTTATTTTAGTTCTTTATAAGCGTTTAGTTGCCAACTAAACCCCGTCTTCTGATGAACAAGTTTAGTTTAGTTGTTTTTGACCATCTAGTTGCCATCTAAACCCCGTCTACTGATAAACAAGTTTATTTTAGTTGTTTTCGACCGTCTAGTTGCCAACTATACCCCGTCTTCTGATGCTAAATCCTGTACTCCGGAAGAGGAGGAAATGGTGGGGTAAGAATAATATTTTTTTTTTACATTATTGCCATTTCTGCAGGTTCATGATTGAAACCAAAAAAGCTTTGCTCTTATAATCCAAACTTCAGTGTCCATGAGATCTAGGTGTCGGCATAAAAATTCACCCAAAAGGAAGAGAAAAAAAATGGATCTGGATCATTCCCATTTGCATTATTTAAATTTTTTTCTTTAAAAAATAAGATTTATCAAATTGAAAGAACTTTCTTTCTGTGAACCTTTATTTAAAAATTAAAATGAACAATAATCATGAATTAAAAATGTGAATAGAAAATGTTTGTTCTTTTGAAAATTATTAAACTTGTTTTCAGAGAACTTCAAGAGGTTTTATCCGGGTTCGTGGAGACTAATCCTGGCTCCTGGGCTCCTATCATCTCACAGTGGTCCCTGGACACTCTAGGTATTCATTCATGGTCCCTGGACACTCTAGGTATTCATTTATGGTCCCTGGACACTCTAGGTATTCATTCATGGTCCTTTGACACTCTAGGTATTCATCCATGGTCCTGGGACACTATAGGTATTTATTCTTGGTCCCTGGACACTCATGGTATTCATTCATGATGTGCTGATTATTCCTACAGAGGTCCCTGGACACTAGGTATTCATTTATGACATTGCTGATCAGTGATCATTCCTTAACTCTTCTCACCCGTAATATACATCCTGAAACATCTTTTTCTCTTGACCTGTAGACATGCCTTTGACTCTTGACATGCTGACTCGTTTCTAACTCACGACCCGCGGACATGCCCTTGACTCTTGACATTCTGACCCGTCCTTGACTTCTGACATGCGGACCCGCCCTGGACTACTGAAATACTGGCCTATCCTAGACTCTTTACAAGTTGGCCCCCTTGACTTCGGATCTGCTGACCCGTCCTTGGCTTCTGACATACTGACCTGTCCCTGACTCTTGATAGGCTGATCTGGCCTTGATTCTTGACATGTTGACCCGTACTGATAGAGATATCTGCTGAATGTCTCTCAAAACAAATAGGTTAGTTTGGATTATTTGGACTTACATTTTTGTTTAAATTGGTTTTAATCTTACCAACTCACAAAATGCATTTGACATTAACATTTTTTATCGGAGATATAAATTATTTTAATTTATTGAAAAACTCGACAGTAAGAAAAAAGTATTTCTTTGCAAGGGAAGTCGAGGGTTTCCACTTTAAGTTCTCTTTTAGATTTTGATTGGTTTAATGGTTGGTTGATTGATTGGTAAATTGGTTGGTAGATTGGTTGGTAAATTGGTGGGTTAATTGGTTGGTAAATTGGTTGGTAAATTGATTGGTAAATTGGTCAGTAGATTAGTTGGTAAATTGGTGGGTAAATTGGTTGGTAGATTGATTTAATGGTTAAATGTTTGATTGATTGGTTGATTGATTTGTTGATTTATTGATTTATTGATTGATTGATTGATTGATTGATCTAGATGAGGACAGTGAAGGATGTGTATCTGCTCTGCTGGAAACCAGTGTTAAACATTCTCCCTACTTTGACTGGGTTGTTGCTCATCTTGGATCCTGCTTTCCTCATACTCTCATCAGGAGAGTTCTAGCCTTCGGTTTCACGGTGAGTCCAATTTCGTTTCCTTTCGTTTCCTTTCGTTTCCTTTCGTTTCCTTTCGTTTCTTTTCGTTTCCTTTCGTTTCCTATCGTTTCCTTTTGTTCTTTTATTTTTTTATTTTATTTCTTTTTAATATATTTAGGATTTTCTGAGTATATCCAGTCAGCATTTGGAGCAGGAGGGGCGGATCATTATTCACAAGGCAGACATCAGTCTTTAAACATTATTAGCTGAAGGGGCCGGCGTTGCCCTTAAAATTAAAAAACCCCTGTGGTAATTAAATAGAGTTTTGCAACGACAAAAAATGTTTATATATAAGAACAAATTATATTTAAATAAACATGTCAAGCAGGAGGGGCGGATTTTAATTAATAAAGCAGATATCAAAATTTAAACTATCATAAAATCATCTTCAATTTAACATTTGGAGCATGAGGGGCGGATCATTCATTATTAATAAGGAAGATATCAATCTTTAAAAATGTTTGAGGAAAATGGATTATGCATACCAACATACACTTGCAAACAGACAAATATTCCGACGCTACGCTTCATACTGCAGACTGCATGTTGATGCTCTGCACCCTGAGGGCGGTCTGGGGGTTCCATGGCGGGTTCCTTTTCAGATCTTATAATTATTTATTTATCTTATTTATATATATATATATAAGATTGATTTCTTGCCGTAGGCTCCTAAGCTGATGAGTGTTATGAGTATTCTTTCCCATCTTGGTAGAAACCATGCAACTGTCCTCCAGGAGTTCATGTACAGTCTTATCCTAGCTTCACTTACTCCAGATTCATCCAGGTATAGTACATCTGTACTCCAGGAGTTCAGGTACAGTCTAATCCTAACTTCACTTACTCCAGATTCAACTAGGTATAGTACAACTGTACTCCAGGAGTTCATGTACAGTCTTATCCTAGCTTCCCTTACTCCAGATGCATCTAGATATAGTACAACAGTACTGCAGGAGTTCATGTACAGTCTTATTTTAGCCTCACTTACTCCAGATTCATTCAGGTATTACAACTGTACTGCAGGAGTTCATGTACAGTCTTATCCTAGCTTCACTTACTCCAGATTCATCCAGGTATTACAACTGTACTGCAGAAGTTCATGTACAGTCTTATCCTAGCTTCTCCTACTCCAGATTCAACTAGGTATAGTACAACTGTACTCCAGGAGTTTATGTACAGTCTTATCCTAGCTTCACTTACTCCAGATTCAACTAGGTATAGTACAACTGTACTCCAGGAGTTCATGTACAGTCTTATCCTAGCTTCCCTTACTCCAGATGCATCTAGATATAGTACAACAGTACTGCAGGAGTTCATGTACAGTCTTATTTTAGCCTCACTTACTCCAGATTCATTCAGGTATTACAACTGTACTGCAGGAGTTCATGTACAGTCTTATTCTATCCTTAAATACTGTTCCTAATTATATAATGTAGCAGCGGAGCACAGTACATACTGTTCCTAATGATTTATGTTTAGTATACAACAGCGGAGTACAGTAACGTACATACTGTTTTTAATTATATATGTTTAGTGTACAACAGCGGAGTACAGTACCGTACATACTGTTCCTAATGATTTATGTTTAGTATGCAGCAGCAGAGTACAGTACCGTACATACTGTTCCCAATAGTTTATGTTTAATTTGTACAACCGCGGAGTTCAGTACCGTACAAACTGTTCCTAATAATTTATATTCAGTGTACAACAGCGGAGTACAGTACCGTACATACTCTTCCTGTGTTCAGTATCTCCTCAGCTATCTCAAGCACTAGTTCTGAATCTACCAAAACTTTTAACTCAATCAACAATTTCAATTCTACAAACCTTAGGTAAATATGTGTATCATCCGTTCGCGGTCCGGGTTCTCCAAAATTATTTTTTCTTATCAATATTAAGACCAGAGTTCAGATTTAATGAACAGCGAGAAGTACTTGATTTGAAAATAACTAGTTGAACTACTTCTAAACTACTTCTCTAGAGAAGTATTTGAGCTATCCATGGTTGATATTTTATTTATTTATTTATTTGTTATTTTATAATCTCTGCTGAGGATTGGATTGGATTGGATTGGATTGGATTGGATTGGATTGGATTGGATTGGATTGGATTTGTCTCGATTTTTTTCACAGAATAGACTTTCTAATAAGCTTAGCTTCAAGCATTAGGAATTTAACTGCTTTATGGGGTGAAGTATGTTATTTTAATGGAAAATGCAATGTTTTATGAAACAAGCAAATCATCAGTCTCTAAATAGTTTTTTTAATTTTTTTCTATAAAAATTTAAATAATTTTTTTTTCCAGAATTTCGAAAGTCGTCTTATTTTACCCTTAGCTTATTAACAGGCAAAGAATTGATTTTATATGTTTAACAATAACCCGAAATACAATGTCCATTGCAAATTATATAAATGTATTGCTCCAGTACCTCTCTGGAACTCTGAATACTTCTCCTCTGTGGAGAACTTGCTACTGGAACTGGTTACCAAGATTTTACTCTCGTCGGACAGGTGGGGACGTTTTCTTTGATTAAGGGAGTGGGTGACCAGATGCTCGATTTTAGAAAATATTTACTAAAACTTCCGAGATTTCAAAACATAAATAAGCTTGCTTTTATTAATGTTTGAAATATCAGAGGCCGAATTAAAGAATTTGAGCCGTGGCTTAAATATGATTGGTTCCACTAAAATTGTGTTCAATGTTTCAAGATTTAAACCGGCGCTCAATTGAAACCGGTTTTTGGCGGATTTGAGACGCGGCTCAAATTCATTAAATTCGGACTCTGTATCCTTAAAATGAATGGAAAAACTAACCAAATCCGTTCGTTTTGCATCGTTTTACATCGTTTTACATCGTTTTGCATCGTTTTGCATCGTTTTGCATCGTTTTGCATCGTTTTACATCGTTTTACACCGTTTTTGGATATTTTCTTGCTCATTTTTTGCATATATCTTCCTGTTAAGGTCAAAATTTGAAAAAATGTATGAAAATCAAATGTTTAGAACAGTGCTTAGGATCCTTTGGAGTCACAACATTTTGGCCTCCTGGATCCGGATCCGTAAAAATATGCAGATCCACGAATCCGGATCCAAGTGCAAAATGTCAACCAAAAACTGCTTATAAAGAAATCTTTTACTCTCAGTACTCAAATATCTGAACTGTTAAAAGACAGATTATCGAAAAGGTCCTTATTTATGAATGATTCATCAAGTTGTTGCATAAAAATAAGTTTTAAAATAATTCGAAAATTCTTCTTCTGTTAAAAAAATCTGTAAATCTTAAATAAATGGTCATGACCTGGATCCGGATCCGGTTTTGGTGCCGGTTTGGTTCCAATTTTTCCAGAGCGATTACAACTTACTGCATGTGCTCGTTCTCTATTTCTGCCCCTATCTAATAAGTACTTGTTTTTACAAATTTAAACTATGTTTATGTTTTCGACATATTTCTCGTAATTATTTTTACCACATTTTGTCCAACATTTCCGACACATGAACCCCCAACAGCGGGATGTTACTTTACTTAACATTCTTTGGGAGAAATATGGTAAAATACCCTTCAGCTCTGCGAAATTTTCGGGAAATACTTTCCGCATTTGCATCTTAAAAGACGTTGAAATTGTGAACAGCTACTTTTTCGGAAAATTAATTTTACTTAAACACGCGGGTTCCCTTGACCAATCCTGCCAAACTTCCCGGTAAAGTAGTTTTTAATAATTATCTTATTTTAGTGGTGTTGGAGAGGTTTTGTTGATTTTGATAAAGAAAGGATCCGAAGGAGTTTCAGACGATACTGCTCGGTGCTCCAGGTAGTTCCTAGTTGAAATATTGTTTGAAAGAGACATCTTTCGTAACTCTTCCCCCTTGGCCATCGTGGACCGCGTTGTCAAGGATACGTTTCCGCGGCTAGGAGCGTTGACCCCTTTTTCAGCGAATGCAGGGTTGTCCGTTAATAATAGTAATAATAATCTTTGATAATTTCGCTAGGTAGAATAGTTGAAGTTTTAATATTGTTTAAATATCTGTGATAAGTTGCACTATATAGTTCAATTTAAAATATTGTTAGAAGAGACATCTATCTGTGATAATTTGCACCAAATAGAATAGTTGAAGTTTAATATTGTTTAAATATCTGAGGTAAGTTGCACTATATAGATCAAATTAAAATATTAATAAAAGAGACATCTATCTGTGATCATTTGAACCAAATAGAATAGTTGAAGTTTTAATATTGTTTAAAGATACATCTATCCGTGATAATTTTCACTAAATTCAAGTTGACATATTGTTTCAAGAGATATCTATCCGTAAACATTTGCACTTAACAGTTAAAGTTTTAATATTGTTTCAAAAGGCATCTATCCGTGATAATTTGCACTAAAAATACGAAGTTGAACTATTGTTAAAAGAGACACCTATCCGTGATAATTTTCACTAAATTCAAGTTGAAATAATTTGCACTTAATAGATCTAAATCAAATGTGTGTTAAGAGACTTTAATGTTGGTAATATTTTGCACTGAATAGATAAAGTTAAATTAGTTTAATGTTACACATATCGATTATTTTATGTAATTATTATTTAAAGTTTGAATACTGTTTATATAGACATCTTTTGCAAGGTTAAATATTGATTAGGCAGAAATCTATCGTTAATATAATGAACTAAAATGTTGCAGGATGGTTGTCAACTCTGTTATATCAGCCTTGTTCCAGCTGGTCCACGGTCGGTCAGTCCAAAGAGGCGATAAATCTCTAGTTGTTGAGAGTTTAACTTCTATTTTACCTCTTCTACTTGACCAGCTCCAGAGCTCACAAGAGTTCCTAAGATCCTCTTCTTTACAGCTTCTTGTACTCTACGCTATACACAAGGGAAGAAGGTTAGTACTCAGTACTCTGTTTCAACAAAATATATTTTCTACAGAATTGGTATTTTGTTCAAATCAATATCTGTTTGACAAACACAGTGTATCATTTATTGTAATATGATAGTGTTGTAAATTCAAAACTAACTTAGCAGCCGTAAATTCTACAAAAGTTCCAAATCTAACTGCTTTAAAATAAAAATTTCTAATCCATATATCTTTTCAACTTGGTGTCGTAAGCTTCGAATTTTCAAACAATGAAATATTTTTGATTCAGTCTATATTTTAAGTATGGTTTACATCATCAGGTTGAAAAGATACAGAAATTAGAAAATGAGTTCGTTTATATATTCCATACAATGTTCGTTGTTTAGTGCTAGTATTCATATCATTAACTTTAAGTATCTTCTATTCTCTTGTTTAGTGCTACTATCCATATCATTAAGTATCTTCTATTCTCTTGTTTAGTGCTACTATCCATATCATTAAGTATCTTCTATTCTTTTGTTTAGTTCTACTATCCATATCATTAAGTATCTTCTATTCTCTTGTTCGTCCAAGGAGGAGCTAACTGTACTGGTCAGCTTTATCTCTCAGGTATAGTCAAGTGCCATCACTTTAACCCGTATTTAGGAATAAAAAAAATTTGAAACGAAAGATTTTAAATTTTTTTCAGGTTGAGATGTTTCATACAGGATGTGTTCCCAGTGTAGTGACACAAGGACTTAAGACGAGGTAATAATTATCTATGCATTCGATGGATGGGGGGGGGGGTCTTCTGAAGGGTATAATATTCCCCCTAACTCCTTGAAATATGAATTTTTGAAAAACAATTTAACTGATTTAATCCAAATTCAAGGTTGTCCTTTGATAATGATAATAATAAAACAGCATGGATTAAAATTATCCGGGGGTTTTTAACAGATTTCATAAAAGATATTTAACTCCTTTTAGGGAAAATCAAAATTAAATTTTACCTCAGTTAGCTTTCTTTTACTATCCTTCACAGGCCCACCTCCCCATGAGGTTTAAATCTCAGTAATTATAGGAACTGAAAGGTAAGGCACTGTAAGCGTAATCGCAAAGCTTTGTCTGATCAAGTATAAATTATATATCAATGTTTTTGTTTCTTTAAACTTTTTATTTTTCTTTGCAATTTCTTTGCGAAAGTGATTTACGCATTTCTGGATAATTAGAAGCAATAGAGAAACTGTCAGAAATATCCGGTTTTTAGTCAAAAAAAAAACGACGTTATCTTCTACATTTTGATCAGATTAAAGAACCAAGTGTTTCTTTCGTTGTAAATCGAGCATTGTCGTGTTTGCATGGAGGGTAACTTGAAATTCCCTAACAGTCCCTTTAATAACGATAAATACTTCGATGGTTTCCAACGCATATGGATTTTGCTTGTGCGCAATTGCGGGAAATGTAATTTCCGCGGAATTTCGCACAATACGAGAACACTTGCGCGCAATTCCGCGGCAACAGAATTCCGATTGGAAACCCTAATGACTTCACAAAATAAAGTAGTTATATAATTACTTACAGGAAGGGGAAAATAATGGTTATTGAACCGATGTTTAAGATCCATTTCATTTTCATACGGATCCAAAACGAATTTGGATCCAGGTCCTGATCATTTCTTCAAGGTTTATGATTTTTTTCAAACAAATTAACAAGTAAAAAATGTTTTTTAAAAAAATGTTCTCGCTTATTTCATGCTGAAACCATGTAGAGATTAGGAAGGTTTAATTAAAATCTCTTATGAGATCAAAATTTTCATTTGTGTTTTGAAAGCAAAATTCTTTGTTTTAGCTGATATTTTGTCCCTTGGATCCGACTCCGTTAATCCACATATTTTTTTGCCTCCGGATCAAAATGTTGCGGATCAAATGGATCCGGACCCGGGTCCTTAGCTGCTTAGCACTGGTTTTAATTATGTATTTGTTTGTCAGGGAAGGAGATATGAAAAGGTTCCTGAAGAATCTAGTTCTCCTGGTGGAGGCGGAGAAGGCTGGAACCCTGGACTCCAAGTCCTCATTTATACAAGGAGTTAGATCCAACCAAACCTTGATAGCAGAGAAACTTGTTCAATCTGGTCTAGCTGATTCTTCTCTTCATCTTACTCCTCTCTATTTTTTTAGTAGCGACTGGCAAGAAAATGACAATTTATTTATCTAATACCCAAAACTTTTCTGGGTAATGTTCAACGGTGCATATATTTTCTTGAAAAATCTTCTCTTTTTTCCCTTCAAGTTAGGGGTTTCTTTGATGTGTTGGGGAAAATAAATGATTTTTTGGTGAAAATAAATTAATTTTGTTATGAAAATAAATGAATTTTTGGTGAAACTGATTTTTTTTGCGAAAAGTAGCATTGAGGATGTAAAAAACTTACTTTTTGATGTCCAAGTTTTTTTTCCAATTCATCTTCAAACCATTTCTTCTCAATTCTTAAAATTATAAATCCCTGTTCACTTGAATTATCGCTGACATTCCCTTTTTATATTCAGAGTTGTCCCCCTGGTGTCTGGATTGAGAATTAACAGTCTGCATCGGATAGCGCACTGTCTGATTGAACTCTTCTTCTCTACTCTGGTAGAAACTAGGCTAATAGAAGAAGATAGAGATAATATACTCCATAATACAGAGATAATTCTCAGGTTAGAGATAATACACTTCATCATACAGAGATAATTCTCAGGTTAGAGATAATATATTCATCATACAGAGATAATTCTCAGGTTAGAGATAATATACTTCAGCATACAGAGATAATTCTCAGGATAGAGATTATAATATACTTCATCATACAGAGATAATTCTCTGGATAGAGATAATATATTCATCATACAGAGATAAGTAGATTAGTATAGAGAAAAAGATAATTCTCAGGCTGGAGATAATATATTCATCATACAGAGATAAATAGATTAGGATAGAGATATATTCTTCATCTTTGTGATTTGTGCATCTTAGTATTCCTGTAGTCGGCCAAACAGCAACTCTTAGATAATGTTACAATGCTTCCTGGGGAAATGGTTTGTGATTATAAGGGGGGGAATGAAAAAAAATCTTCCTTTTAGAATTTAGATACTTTTCACCCTAAAGTTTAAACTATTTTTTCGTAAAAATTATTTTTTCCCCTAAGGCGAATTAAAATCTAAAAAACGTACCTACCTTTTTAAGGTGAAAAATATTTTCCTAAACGTATTCCTTAGATTGACGATTTATTTAAATTATCAACCTATAATTAGATGCTTTTACTTCAGTGAGACTTTAAAACCCCGGAATAGGTTCAGATAATATTTCAACAATCTATTGTGTATTTGATGTTCTTATAAATTAAGCAAATAGTTTTAGCAGTAGCATGAATATCAACTTATTAAGTGAAATGGGTTTATGTACACACTGAACAATTACTGAGTTTCATGTTCATTGTTTATTGGAATATTTGAAATCAAAACTTTTAACAGCTGTCATCTTATTTGACAGTTTTATTTGTCTCACTGTAGCATCACACAAATTGTATTTTTTTCATTTTAGGGATGTTTGTAAACAACAGAGTGGTTTAAATATAGTTCTCAGATTTATTCTAGAAGCAAGCATTCATTCGCCTTACTCATCCTTCCTTACTTCTCAAATACAGGTTAATATATACTCATCCTTACTCATCCTTTACTTCTCAAATACAGGTTAATATATACTCATCCTTACTCATCCTTTACTTCTCAAATACAGGTTAATATATACTCATCCTTACTCAGCCTTTACTTCTAAAATACAGGTTAATATATTCTCATCCATACTCATCCTTCTTTACTTCTTAAATACAGGTTAATATATACTCATCCTTACTCATCCTTCTTTACTTCTTAAATACAGGTTAATAAANAGACTTTAAGACCCAATCTTCGACCCAACTTTGACGACAGCTTGTGTCACGTGATTAACAGCTGCAAAATCTTCGGCTCGACTTAAAGAGTTAGGTCCAATGAAAATTAAACCGACCTTGGTTGGTTTTAGTGGAGAAAAGGCTCAGTGCTGAGTCTTGTTCTCATAAAAACCCGGAATGCGCCAATTGCTACTATGAAAACCCACCAAATAGAATATCAAACCGGTTTTTTAAACTCAACTCTGTGGAAAATAAGATGTAGCTTGAATCCCGAAAGCTCAAGCCGTAAATAAGGCCCAACAACAGCTTTGACATGAGTCGTATTTTCCCGATTTTTTTTAAATCACAGGCTCTCATCACTTTCCTCAAGCTCACATTTTATAATCCTTTTATGATATCTTTGCCACCTGATAATGTGCAAACCATAGATAGTTTAAATTTTAATTCATAGTTTGAATTAGCAATGGTCTACGACATCTGGTTGCTTAAATATAAAGAGTTTAAGATGCCTGGAATAATTTTTGTTTTACCATCACTTTTATCTGAGCCCGTTTCTTCTGAAGACTACAATGGTCGACCAGTGCAGATGACGTTCCTATCGGCGTCCGTCCTAATTATCTATCTATCAGATAAGATTCTAACGTGAGCAATCTAACGGCCATACAATCGTCCCCCAAAGTATGTCACTATAATAGACCTTATTCTGGTCTTAAATGTATTATGTTAATGTTCTAGACCCCTGAGAGCTGGAAGACGACCTCTAGGCTACGCCAGACCGCTAAGCTATACAGAGAGAACTTCAAGTTTGGCTCTATGCCTGTTCAACCTCTGGGGTCAAGCACTGTCTTTCACGCCGGAGTTATAGGTAACAACCTTGTATTCAATTACATAATGTTTATTAAAAAATATGTCCAGATCAGGGGGGATGATAGTTCTCTACCTGTGTGCTCAGTTAGCTGTACTGTACACTTACAACTGTTTACTAATATTGATATACTATATGTTAGGCCAGAATCAACTTAAAATAAACAAATATGCATTACGCTCTCGGTATAGTTTATGGTCTGTACAATTAGTAAAGGATTAGCGTACATCATCACTCTATACAATATAACCTCGTTGGTCCAGATATTTCTAATTTTTATGGCAAAATATATTTGAGATTAAAATGATAATATAAGTGTAAACTACACTTTTTACTTGGCAAATACAAATTTTCTTCCTACGTAATTTTAATTGGTCCCCTTCATTTAAAGAGTTAGTTTCCCTATTATTAACATTCTTTGTCTGAACCACATTGATGAAGTTATCCCCGTGTTTCTAAACGAAAATTTAACGTTCTCTCATGCCGTTATTTCAAAACTTACTTGCTCATTTATGTGATAGTTCCAAAGACTTAAATTTTGTTTGTTTAGGTGATGGTATCAGAGCAGGAGCTCCCTCCTCTAGAATATCTGAAGAAGAGAGTTCTCTTCTACGTCAACTTGTCTCTGGGATTATTATCAGACTATGTGAATCCGTAGGATCAGACGGTTAGTTGTTTATTTTTATCAGAACCTCCCTAGTCCCTCCTCCTTCCCCTCCCCTCCTCCCCCTCCTCTAGAATATCTGAAGAGGAGAACTATCTTCTCCGTCAACTTGTCTCTGGGATTATTATCAGACTATGTGAATCCGTAGGATCAGACGGTTAGTTGTTTATTTTTATCAGAATCTCCCTAGTCCCTCCTCCTTCCCCTCCCCTCCTTCCCCTCCTCTAGAATATCTGAAGAGGAGAACTATCTTCTCCGTCAACTTGTCTCTGGGATTATTATCAGACTATGTGAATCCGTTGGATCAGACGGTTAGTTGTACGACCATGAAGGATTTTATATTATTAATTTATTAGATGAAGATGAGAAGAGGATGTCCCAGCAGTCCCTGGATGATGGTTGTAAGAAACTATCCCTGATCCTTGTAGAGATCATATCTCCTGATATCATGTACAATGGGATACCTTGGCCTGAAGAGGAGTTTATAAAGGTACATAAACGTTTGTATTGTATTGTATGTACTGTAGTTCATGTACAATGGTACAACGTGGCCAGAAGAGGAGTTTATAAAGGTACATAAACGTATGTATTGTACTGTACTGTACTGTAGTGCATGTACAATGGTACAACGTGGCCAAAGTAGGAGTTTAAAAAGGTACATAACTGTTGGTATTGTACTGTACTGTACTACACTGTAGTACATGTACAATGGTGCAACGTGGCCAGAAGAGGAGTTTAAAAAGGTACATAACTGTTTGTATTGTACTGTACTGTACTGTACTGTAGTACATGTACAATGGTTCAACGTGGCCAGAAGAGGAGTTTATAAAGTTACTTAAACGTTTGTATTGTAATGTACTGTACTGCACTGTAGTTCATGTACAATGGTACAACGTGACCAGAAGAGGAGATTATAAAGGTACAAAAACGTTTGTATTGTACTGTACTGTACTGTAGTTCATGTACAATGGTACAACATGGCCAGAAGTGGAGTTTATACAGGTACATAAACTTCAAAAGAGGATTCCATTGTACTGTACAGTATTGTAATGTAGTTTATGGACTATTGTATACCCTGACCTGAAGAGGAGGTAATTAAGGTCCATAAACTTTAATGTAGGTCTGTAATGTACATTACTGCACAATACTCTGCTCTACTGTACTCTGTAGCTGAACTGTACTCTGCTTTACTGTTCTGTACTTTGTAACTGTGCTGTACTCTGCTCTACTGTAATGTACTCCGTAACTGTACTGAACTGTAATTCATGTAATTTTTATCTGAAATATTATCAGGTAACTATGGAGAGAGATCTTGGTATTTCTAAGATGTTAACTCTGAACCCTCTACTCTGGAACCTACTGGAGCTACTCGCTCTAAACAAACCCGCACTCTGCTACTCATCCGTTATCATCAGGTTATTTTTCATCTTTATTACACTTCTCACACAAACAAAAATCATTTATTTTGCAATATATTACCCCAACATCGGGGGGTACTTTTAAGAAATTGAGAGTGGAACATTTTTTAAGAAAATAGGTACCCCTGCTTTGTCTCATTTAAGTCAAAAGAAAGTAATCTCATTATTATCCTTATTATTTCTAATCCTTGACATCTTTGTAACCTGAGCTGAAAACTTTTGAATGGGATATCCTTAATCCCGATCTGCTGATTAATAACATGAGGAGAATAAGAAATATTTAATCTAGGAGATTAAGAGAAAGAGGAGATCAAGCATTGATCTCGATATCCACCATTCTAAAGTTTTCAGCTCTGATGTCATAGTCCTTTGTAATTTAGATACAATTTTGCTACATCAAGTAGAAACGTTTAAAATTTCAAATGTTTGCACCATTAGCTCTTATCGTTAGTGTGGAATTATTTTTTCTAATGTTTATTTTCGTTCCATCAATTAATATTGGTTAAAACCTATTTAGAGCTGCTGTATCTGTATGTATAACACACTGGCAAGGAAGTGTATGTACAAGACTAACAAACCATCCTCTTCAGCTAAATCTAACCAGGAAACCCATTCTAACAATTATTCAATATTCTCCCTCTTTTCTCACATCTTCATCTTTTTTTGTTAATTTCTCTTGAAGGGATTGTTGACGGAATTTCAAGTGACCCTTTTTTTATAAAGTGGTTTGTCCGATTAACAACTGTACCCTCCTACCCTTTATCTTATCTTTGTTGGCGGAGAAATCCGTTGTGAACAGGGAATAAGAATAAAGGGAAAGGAAATGGCGCTGGACTGACATGAGAAAGCCAGTCGCACTGCTTTGCAGACCAGTACTTTAAACAACACACACTCTTTTGGTACAGACACACAACATGACTACAGTCAAGGAAATTGCAGAACAATGTTGTCAATTATAATTAGACTTGAATAAAGACTATATTTGTTGTAAACTTTAATCAAGTTAGTTATATTCTTTGCATGAACATTTGGTTTATAGTGTTGACTTAAATATATAAATAATATACTACATGTATATTAAACTTATTTTTAAGTAAACAATTAACAATAAACAAATGTACTCTTCTAGACTGTACAAATACCGAGATGTTTTTAAAAATCAAATCATATGATCTATTTTCAAATATATATTATCTAGTTTTTTTGTCTATTTTTTGATACTTTTTACCACCTGCCGCCGGCCATTCCTGAAATATTTGTCACATTTAATCTTGTCTTTACAAGTCAAATATTGAAAAAGTAATTTGAGATTGAACAGGGGCGTATACTAAGCAGGAATTTGTCTGTGAGGGGGGGGGGTAACACTTATTGGGCCCTGTTGAGGTGTGATTATTACCCCCTAGTTTTTACATATCCAAAGGGATATTCTAGATCCAACACAGGTATTAAAGGGACTGTATCCCAGATTCTAGATATTCTAGATCCAACACAGGTATTAAAGGAACTGTATCCCAGATTATAGATATTCTAGATCCAACACAGGTATTAAAGGGACTATATCCCAGATTCTAGATATTCTAGATCCAACACAGGTATTAAAGGGACTATATCCCAGATTCTTGATATTCTAGATCCAACACAGGTATTAAAGAAACTCTATCCCAGATTCTAGATATTCTAGATCCAACACAGGTATTAAAGGAACTGTATCCCAGATTCTAGATATTCTAGATCCAACTCAGGTATTAAAGGGATTGTATCCCAGATTCTAGATATTCTAGATCCAACACAGGTATTAAAAGGACTGTATCCCAGATTCTAGATATTCACAACGTATTCCTAACACCTCTGTTTTAGCAATAATAACCGAGCTATTCTCTTTTTTTTACTACCAAGAAAACGTGCTTAAATCCGCAAATAATTTTGATAGAGAAATTGCACTTGGAAAAGATAAATTTTCGTATAGATAACTTAGGATATCATCATCATTTTTCATGAAGATTTAACTTTTATACATTTTTTAGCTATATACATTATACATATATATATAAATATTTATTTTTTTATTTATCAAAATTGAAAATCCACCAAGCATATATTAAAATAATGGATTTATACTAATGTTCAAAACGCATTGGCCTAAAAGATAAAAGTATAAAAAGTAGTAATTATCACGAACGCCAAGCCTAGCGAGTAACAGAATTTAGACGACAACTAGTGGTTGTAAATTTGGACAACTGTCAATTGAACTTCTGATCCTATGAACTATTGAATATTTGAACAAGTTGTTTATTTCCTTACAGGCAACGGGTTTTTCAGCAAATAAAATGTTTTTGTGTTTTCGTTACTTTTATCTTTTGTTCGTTTGAGGTATTTAAATTTTCTGTATTAAAGGGAGTGTTCGCGAAAAATAAGCGCTTTTAATCCCTACGAAGAACGTAGCGTCCATACAAATTCGGAGAGTTGCAACATTCAACTCGGATCGTAAAATGATCAATGTAATTCCAAACAAATCATTCAAAAATTGCAAACAATAGTCATCGATTATTTTCGACGCATTCATATCTAGTTAATATTTTATAATTATTATGATTTTAATGAATCCTATATTCAACTACCTGCTACCTGTATCCTATTATATGTTTCCTATATTCAGATAAACTGTATCCTGGTATATGTATCTTATATTCAGCTACACTGTATCTTGGTATATGTATCTAATATTCAGCTACACTGTATCTTGGTATAATGTATCCTATATTAAGCTACACTGTATCCTGGTATATGTATCTTATATTCAGCTAAACTGTATCCTGGTATATGTATCTTATATTCAGCTACACTGTATCTTGGAATAATGTATCCTATATTAAGCTACACTGTATCCTGGTATAATGTATCCTATATTAAGCTACACTGTATCCNCCGAAAAAAATCGAAATTGAAAACTAACAGGCATAGCTGAAAATACTGGATGTACAAACCTGTATTTTTAGCTATACTATGCTAATGTTTGAAACGCATCGGCCCAAGAAAAAGTTAAAAATTAGTAAAAATCTACATTTAATGTACTGAACAACATCAGTGGTTCGACTTTGCGACCTCGTAGCTCATTTGCTTTAGTTTTGAATTGATTTTTAACGCAATCATGAAACTAGAAAATACATCCGGTTATATTCTAGAAATTTAAGAGGATTCAGGATTAAGATTTTGGCTGATTGGATCCGCAAAAATATGCAAATCCACTGATCCGGATCCAAGTGGCAAAGTATCAACCAAATATCCACGGATCCGGATCCAAGTGGCAAAGTATCAACCAAAAACTGCAACAAACAAAATTAATCTTAAAACCCAAATCTGACCTATTTAAAACTATTGAGATTATAAAAATTTGCTGATTTCTGAATGGTTCATCAAGTTTTAGCAAAAAAACGAAAAAAAATGAAAATTCTGCTTTGTTAAAAAAAAATCAGTAAATTTATAGAAATAACCTGGAACCGGATCCATTTTTTCCAGTGTGGATCAAGGATCCGGATCCGCATCAAAATTTAATGGATCCTAAGCACTGTTTTAATCATGCTTCAACCTTACATAAGTTTGACGTGAGCGAGTGAAAATACGTAAAGTTCTTATTTTTTTATGATTATTATTTCTAGCCGTATTGTGATCGGCTTCGGATGGTGATGGTTTCCAACTTGGAGAAGGTGTCAGACCTATTTAAGGTAAATTGTTAATTCTGTTGTGCAGTGGCGACCATTAAAATGAGGAATGATCGCCTTCTTATTTTTTTATTGAAATAGTGACAGCTTAGAAATCCGTAATTGTTGAAACTGTTAGATCTAAATAAATGAATATGTTATGAACCAAATTAGTTACAATTGTATAGAATTATTAGCGACCTTTTATTTAAATAAAAGGACGACGACCATTCCACTGTTTAGTGGTGACCACTTTGTAAGATAAATTTTCTGGAATAAAGTGTAATACCGCTTGACGTTGTATATTACTTTGTCAAACGCTTTTTGAAATTTTTTCCTGCACTTGGATAATTTTAACGATATCCTTCTTTGTAATTGATACAAAAGATGAAAAAATTATATTTTAGGTTTGTTATGTTGATGCGTTTAATGCATCTGCCGGTTCCCCTCTGCCAAGTTTAACAAATGGACCGTTCCTCGGTATTTCCGATGTCGATGCCCAGGCGGCCATTTTGAATTCGTATCCTCCAACCGGTCAGCCCGCCGCCATCTTGAATTCTGAAGCTTCTCCCTCCAATTTCTCAATTCAAAATTCGGACCCGTCATCAGCTGTTTCCGGGTCAAATCACGTGACAAGCTCTGGTGAAGTTTATCCGACAGCTGAAGTTCACAATAATGGATCTTATACAAATAATGGCTCCTCTTGATATATGTATTGATCGCAATAATGTGAAACCAACTCAAACCAAATAAAATATTGTTAAAAAAACTTGTTTATTTTTATTCTAAGGATTATTTTCTTTTCATATTTAAAGATTTGTTCTCCAAAATATTAAAATACATTTTGTTCCATATGAGAAAGTTCCAATTCTCAACTTGTGATTCATATGTTCCACAACAGAATTCACTCTGAAGAGTTTGATTTTCACTTTCTAATAAGCGTTATTTTTTAATTCACTTTTAAGTATGAGTGGCAATTTTCTGCAAAGCCTTTTAAATTAAATTGATTCAATGCAATGCGAGTTGCAGGAATTTCATGGTGTCGCAATAAACATGAGAATTAAAATCGTCTTCGATTTCTGATCGTTTATAAATGATCACGAGTGTGTAAAAAGTATGAGGTCCGACTTTTTTATTTTTAAACGTTGAAGGAGATAATATTCGTTCGAACAATTTTGTTGGTATTTGATAAATTAGGTAAATTAGAACAGGATTTATTAGTGATAATATTTTTGTTTATTTCCGTGGTGTGAAAAAAATAGTGACTAACATTTTGAATTCTTAAGACTAAGACAAATCAAATCATCAAATCATGAGTGTTAGGGAAAGCTTTAGGCTCCACTCTACAGCTTGGAGTTTCAAGTCCTGACTGAGAGGTGGGTTTTCAGCCCGGATTTGTTTAATGTTTAACCGTTAATGAATCGAGTGTTTAAATTAATCGAAATGATCCCAGCAACACGACCAAATTTGAGCCATGCAACCATTTTTAGCTCCCTTTATTATGAAATGTTTTAACTTGGTACCAATAGGACCATCAGGAATCTTACGAGAGTATAGAAGGGCCCAGGGTTGACCGTCAAAGCTCAACCCGTCATTTTAAATAACAATCTTGAACCCCTTAAACTGACACTCTACGGGGTCATGTTCGACGCAGAATTGGGCCGGGTTTAATCTTTTATTTTATTAAGAACGATTAAAATTTCCTTGTTGTCCTGCTTAAATTGTGATTTCTCTTGAAGTAAGAATTTGTCCGATTCACACCGGGACCGTTAAACCCTTTTTCTGGAAACCTAGACACTCCCGAAACACAAAATCATAACAAAAATAGTATTAATCGAGCGGGGGAAGGCAGGCGGTCATAAGCCAGAACATTTTCTCTACATGCAACATATAAGTTTTTTGTCTTCCGGCAGCCATGAGCCACAACCTTTCAGTCTTCTATGCCACAACATTTGAGTCTTTCGGCAATTATAAAGTTTTTAAATAATAAATTAATAGGGCATTGAAATTGAAATTTTTGAAAATTCTGCCGCATTACGCAAAAGCTCATACGGTTGTGCAGCCATGGCTGCCGGAAGACAAAAAAGATAATATGTGGCATGGAAGGGGTAAATGTTGTGGCTTATGTCTACCTGCCTTCTCCCGCAAATTAATCATCAATTCACAATTTGTTCATTTTTGAAAATTGTCAACATTCCCTTAGAAGAGATAATCTTATTTTGAATTTCGTGTTCTCTAAGAATAGGCATATTACAACACTGCTGTATATTTAAACAATGTGTAATTAAGGTTAAAGGGTCTTAAAATTCAAGAAATTACGCAATAAATTTCAAGATTTGTATGAACGGGCTAAATTTGAGACTTACATCCTGATATCGTTAATAAGCTGAATAAAATAAAAAAGAAGCTGAAGTTAGGACAATCATAATTTATTTACAGGGTGTCCCATAAAACATGGAAATTAAGTGACGATTTTGATTTTGTCTTTTCAAATGATTTTTAAATGTGATAGTGCCTGCACATGAAATCTGTAATCTGTAAATGTTTTGTTTGTTTGAATTAAGAATTTGTTTGTTAGTATTTAGATTGAAGAGGATGTATACATGGTAAGATTATAAATTCCTATATACAAATCACAGTACAGTTGTTTCTTTTTACAATCATCATCATACTACTTTTATAGAAAAACAAAACTTAATAATACGCTACAGACGTAACTTTCTTTTAACTATTGAATTTATGTATTACAACGCTAATTCATAACAAATCATTCGTCGCTATAATATTCCAATGTTTATTGGGACACCCTATACAAAGTAAGCCTGAAATTTGCAACCTCTTGCGCAAAAATGTTGCTATACTTCTTCAAAACTAAAGCTAAAAAGTGCTGTATAGTTCTAAAATGTAAAAGTCAAGTATGACCAGGTATTTTGACACTTAAAATTTGACCAAATCATCTATTCGATATAAAGCACTATTGATCAAAAGTTTTTTTGACTGAAACTTTTAATATAATGAATATTGAAAAAATATGCCAATTTAGGAAAGTTTTAGAATAGATATTTGCAAATATCCAGAACAAAAAGTTTTATCAAAAATTTAACTTTTTTAGGTTTACATTACTTTACGTTTCAAAAAATATGCAAAAAAAATCATTTCTGACACTCCTTGCAGGTTTTGTACGTCAGCATTATAGTCGATCAAATTTACCTTACTGCAGTCCTTCAATTATCATAAAGTGTCCGAATTTAATGAATTTGAGCCCCGTCTCAAATCCCCCAAAAACGATTTCAATTGAGCGCCGGCTTAAATCTTGAAAAATAAAATACGATTTTAAGTGGAACCACAACCATAATTGAGCCCCGGCTTAAATTTAAACCACGGCTCAAATTCTTTAATTTCGGCCTCCGGAAAATTTAATCTTTCTAAATAAACCAGATTTGACCCATAACGGATGAGACTGAAAAGAAAAAATTATCATAAAAGGAAATGAATAAGTGCATCAATAAAAGAAAATAGTTAACTTTATTATATCTGTATGTTCCAAAAATGTTCAAAATTCATTGTCCATTATTGATTAATCAACATGTAGAACTAGAAAAATGTTGAATTAAAAGACGGCTTTATAGCAATCCTTTAGTGTATTTGATTTTTCATAGGGTTAACAGATATTCAAGTAAATAAAAAAATTACTATAAAATTAAAATGGGTCTGTTTCAGTTCTTTACCTGTGTGCTCAGTTAGCTGAACTGCATACACTTACAACTAGCTGTTTAGTAATATTGACATACTATAGGTTAGGCCAGAATCTCATTATAATAAACAAATATGCAGTTCGCTCTAGGTATAGTTCATAGCCTATACAATTAGTAAAGGATTAGCGTACATCATCACTCTATACACTATAACCTCGTTGGTCTGTTTACAATGCATGATTGCTGTAATTTTATGTATACATTGGACAATTTGAAGTCATAACTTGAATTTAAAAGTCGTCTTTTTATTCCGAAAATTTCTGGTTCTTACTTTACCTAGATATATAGATATATGGATAACAGGGTCCCCTTCCCATCCAAAAGTTTAGATTAAAAAATATACACGACATTTATTCATGAACCTTTAGTTCACACCTAAATTATTTTATGCGTTGGTATTTAAAAAATAAAGAATGATCAAACAAGGTTGTAATTCAAAGTAAAGGGGGGGGGGTCTTCAAGACGTTCGAAGTAAAACTGACTCTTTAAACTCAAAACAACCTACCCTGGTTAGGCGGGTCCAAATTGTTGAAAAAAATATGAAATGAATAGAAATCTTTTTTTTTCAAGCCCAAATACTTTTTATAAGGGATCTTATGTTTTTCTTTTAAACTCTTTGGTGTAAAACCAAGGTGTAATGGAACGCTGTCTGAGTTTTGAATTTGTAATAAAGAATTTTAATATGAAAACAAATTTGTCTCAACCGCTAGATTTGATAAACGGAGAAAGAAGTATATTTATTTCCGATTAATAAATTTATAAGTTTACTGGGACTTCAGAGCCTTGATAATTGTGAAACATAAATTAAATACAAAAAAGGTAAATTTTAGATATGATCAATTATTAGCTTAGCCTGTAGTACGTAAGCATAAACGAAATATGATAGATAGATAGATAGATAGATAGATAGATAGATAGATAGATAGAAAGATAGATAGATATATAGATAAATATAATACTAACCATCTATTACCCAGACTGATATCCAAGTTAGGAGTATGAAACATAATTCAAAATAAAATGCATTCCATACAAATTACATTTACTGCTGCCAACAGTCACTAAGTTCATTTAGTCAAGGTATGTTAAGGGAAGGTAAGAATTTTTGGTAAAGGTTGTCAAATTAGCTTTTACAAACCTAGGCTCCTATCGACCATTTTAACTTTTAACTATTGCTCTGAAATTTGTTTTTGATCATTCTGAGTTTTTGGCAGATTTGTCCATTTTAACTGGCGTTTTTTTCAAAATTAGTCATTATAATTATTATAATTATAACAAATTTTCCGGTCATCATTGTTAACCTTCCCTGAGGTCACGCAAATTGTCTAAAATAAATGGTGTCAGATGGGTTGGAAGCAGTTTTGATGTGTATTGGATACAATCAAACTAATAAATGGTGTCCGATGGGTTGGAAGCAGTTTTGATGTGTATTGGATACAATCAAACTAATAAATGGTGTCCGATGGGTTGGAAGCAGTTTTGATGTGTATTGGATACAATCAAACTAATAAATGGTGTCCGATGGGTTGGAAGCAGTTTTGATGTGTATTGGATACAATCAAACAAATAAATGGTGTCAGATGGGTTGGAAGCAGTTTTGATGTGCATTGGATACAATCAAACTAATAAAGAATTCAATTAAATTGATAAAAAAGATTTTAACACTTATCAAGATCTTTAACTAGCTGGCTTGCTAGGCTCTGTTGTATAATTCTGTATTCCGAAAATTTAGTTATTTTGTGTTTTTAAGTGGTTCAACAACCCCTTCTGTGATCCTCCATTTACAGTGTGCAATGTGTGATGCACAAGGATAAATAAGATATCCATATTTTTCTTGCTAATAATTGATTAATTTCAATCATTTTTTCTCTGTGGAGACAATTTAGCAAATTGTCATAATTTAAAACGAGAATATACAGATTTAAATGATACCGCTGTGAACCTGGCATGCCATTCTATGAGTCGGGGGACCTATAAAATGACAGTCCCTTTAAATTATCTCTGCCCTGAATCT